GGCACTGTAACACCAATAGAGAGGTCCCTTACCTTTACCAACAAATTTCCTGATAAGATCACCGATAAAACCCAATTACAAAGGTTCTTAGGCAGTCTTAATTATGTTCTAGACTACTACCCTAATATTAGCCGTCTAGCCAAACCTTTACATGACAGATTAAAAACAAATCTCATACCTTGGTCCAACCTCCATACCAACCTAGTCAAAGAGATTAAGAAGCATGTTCAGACCATTCCCCTCCTCCATCTAGCTAACTCGTTAGCCCCTAAGATAGTCGAGACTAATGCCTCTAACATAGGTTATGGCAGCATTCTCAAACAAATTCAAAATGACAAAGAGCAAATCCTTCAATACATATCCGCTCACTAGAATGACTGCCAAAAAAATTACTCTACTATAAAAAAGGAGATCCTTTCAATTGTTCTCTGTATTATAAAATTTTAAAGTGATTTACTAAATCAAAAATTTCTTTTACGTGTTGACAGCAAATCCACAAAAGAAGTCCAAAATCTTGCTTCAAAACAGATTTTTCCCAGATGACAAGCTATTTTAAGCATTTTTTATTTTGATATTGTCTATATTAAAGGAGATTCAAATTCCATTCCTGACTTCCTAACCCGCAAATTCCTTCAAAACAGGTCTTGATGCCTCCCAAAGCAAAGGCCAGAGACAAGGGCAAAGCCCCTCAAACCCAGCCTACAAAACCAGAAAGCCCGAAGCCCTCTACAAAACTCATGTCTTCAGCCATCCTAACTGTCAAACCAATCAAATCCTGGTATAAGGCAGTAATTGAAGAAGAAGACACTACAAAACCCCAACAGGTACAAACAGACGCAGTTCAACAATAGGTTGACACTATATCTAAATCACCAGAATCACTTCTAGCGTTACAAAAAGTGTCTCAACAGACATCCGGCGACTCCGTATCTCAAACAGGTAGTATTTCAAAACCACTTTCAAAACCTCAAGGAGGCATTTCTACTTCAAAACCCCCCTTTCTTTACAACAAACCAGCTTTTCAAAAACAAAATCCAAATATATTTTCAAAACTACTTTCCAAAATATCTTAACTATGGAAGAAGGATTTTATCATGAAAACCCTTCCATTATTGCATCCAAAATTTTCCCCTCAAACTAGCACTACAAACCCTGGAATTTGGCCAAACCACAATCCTATTATGCCACAATCCTTGAAATCACTAATTCTGTCAAATTCAAACACTTCAAAATTCATTCCAGCCACACTGAACCGACATATGCTACATGTATTATTCAAAAAGTCATTCACCCTAAAGACTAGGGATAACCCTTACATCAACCTCTTTTTTTCCCCATAAACTTCCGTACAAACCCCTAAGAATTTAATACATCCTATACATATTGGGATTATCAACAGGCATGGTTCAATACCTTCCTCCTACAAAATCCAAACCATAGTCATTCTTGGCTTTTCTACTTCCATAATGACATGGACACTACAAACCTACCCCTCTGGTTCCTCCAATGGTGGGACTACTATGGTTGTCATGTTGACTACCTCAAAGACCATCCTCTAGTTGAAAATGGCTATGGTTGTCATGTTGACTACCTTAAAGACCATCCTCTAGTTGAAAATGGCTACCTCCATTTCAAAAATAATTTTCAACCAGCTCCTTCTGAAAGAAAGTTCTTTTCTCTACTCATTTTCTGTACAAAATTTTTTGTGTTGTGGGTATGTTCATGGTTTTATGATTATAATCTACAAAATGGACATCCAGTTCTTGTTCGTAAATTCAACATCAAATGGTGGGATTCCTTTGCAGCTGAATCCAAAAGTTAAAAATTAGCTGTTACGGAATGGTTACAAAAACATCAGACAGCTCCCATAATTGATCATCATCCTCAATCAAAGTTTCTAGCCAGAAAGGCTCAAATGGCAGCTTTCCTTGCCTCTACTAGAACTGAAGAAGAATACTTACAAATTGTCCAAAGCATTATACAAAGCTAAGACCCCAAAACAGTCTTGTCCCAATCCAACTCATCCGGATCAATATCTCCTGCCATTTTCCTTGGAAATGATAATGAAGATGACTGTTTTGGTATTCTACCACCCATTAAGCGACACTAAAAAAAAAAAGAGTATTTTTCCAGCTTTTTCAGGCTCATCTGTTTAGAGCCTTATCTTTTTTGACTCACCTGTTTTGAGTCCCTTTTTAATTTTAAGACCCTATGTTTTAGACTTTCTTTTTACAAATATTACCCGCTGCTACAAATTCATTGTCGGTGACTAAAAGACAACAAATAAAAAATTCAACAACAAAAATCGTGGGCTTTTTCCATCTTGTCTTCACTCAATAATGGTAGATAACACCACATGGGTTCACATGGGTTCTGAAGGAATCTCCAACAAGACATTTTGACCTCTTCCATGTCAACTCGTCTATAAAAGGAGACTCGTCAATCTTTACAAGGCAGACTATCATTTTCCCTGAGAAACTTTCATTCTCCCTTAGAACTCATACCTGTAACCCTTCTCCACTCTCCTCTGTATCTAATATCTCTTGTATTAATTAACATTACAAATTTACGTAAGATTCTATTTTATTGTTTACATTTTTGTTATATTTTATGTCCGATAAGTATGCTCTGTGTTTGACCAAGGATCCTGACATTGTTGGTCTTGCCTTGTTCATTCGCATCAGAAATCTGTTTGCAATTTATATTTTTTGAAGTTTATTTTATATTTTCGTAACTTATTTCTAGTTTCATAAAATCAGTATATAGACTGGAAACTTGTGACCCGATATTTTAAGATCATTCTCAGGTATAACAACGCCACGTACTAATCAGCCTTACTAGTATCATATATATATATATATATATATATATAGTTTTTATTCAATAAATTTTATGTATATGTTTTTTTATTACAAATTTATTTTGACATAAAAATTCATTAAACATGACTAGATAAATTACTTATATTGTGATGTTAGATATTTTAATCTTTACTTTTCGCTTGGTTTTCTCAATTTCATTTTTGTGTATAGTTGATTAATTTTTTTTCTTCATTATTTTACACAATGATTATTGGGTTGTTTATATATATATAGAGAAAGAATCTGGTAAAGGAAACTATTTGGGCAATGCATCCATGAAAGTTTGAAGGCTTTAGATACTTTTAGGTTGTTTTCTCTTGGTGAAAAATTTACCTTTGAAGACGAGTATTTAAGGTATGTACCATATTTATTTATATGTTAGATCCAAACATATAGATGAATATATAAAAAGTTTTTGAAGATACTTAACTAAGTTATTTAGGTCTTTGCAATAACAACGAGTTGATAATCATTTGTTATTCTTTACTTACTAATATTTTGCTGGGACTTCACTTCTCACTTAAAACTTGAGCTTCCCTATTTTTTTTATTTATCGTGTTACTTTTTATTTTGAGTTGCTAAAAAATATTTTTGTTAGATTGATGTTCTTTACATTTTATATTTTGATTTTTATATGAAATTCGAGATAATTTAAATAAGTTTTTTTGTATATTACTTATTTGTTGTTTGAAAGTCAAATTATATATCTTTTAATGCTATCAATTCTTGATTACATATTTAAAAAATATCTTTTTAACTATTTTATAATTAAAAATAATATATATATTTTTAAAATACTTTCCCCGATAACCTGTAAACAACCTATCTAGTTTTCTCTGGATTATTTTCAATCCTAAGTCGTCATTCAAAAGAATAAAAAAAGTAAAACGATAATCATGCTGGAGCTTTTACTTTTCTTTCCTTTTGAATAAAAAAATTAAATTCCTTTTTGAATGACACAAGGAACGCTATAGTGATGTTACGGTTGACCTGGCGTTGATGGTTTGGTTTCCGCTGCTAGTTTCTAATTGGATCATATTAAAGTTATTGAATAAGAAAATATCAAAGTGTTTGATTTTTATTTTATTTTATTTTCATAATTATATATCTGATTTTTTATATGATTTGTTAGCAATCGAGTTAAGGCATAATCAAGTTGTATTAGCTTTTGATTTTTAAAATTATTTTTTGTTTAAAAAACATAAAATTAATATTTTTAAATATTTTTTTATTATATTGATGAGTTAATGTTCAAAATTAAAAAATTAAAAAAAATATTATTTTTAATGTATTTTCAATTAAAAAACACTTTAAAAAAAAAATATCCTATATCATATTATAAACACACTAAATCATAACATTTCTCTGAGTTTTTGAAGAAGCTGTAACTTTTTTTTTATTACACCAAAGGGAGATTTTTCCTTTTTTTTATAAGAAATTTACTAACAAGTTATTTAGAATCAATTCTTTAATCAATTATGGTATTTAATTTAAATTTAATTAATAAATAAATTAAATTTAAATAGTTAAACAATTAAAATTAAATTTATTTTATTTTTTATATTATCCACGCCACCTTTATCTTATTTCTTTAAAAGTATCTAAAAAAAAGTTTTTTCTTTTTTTTTTAATAAGAAATTTACTAACAAGTTATTTAGAATCAATTCTTTACTATAATTGAATAAATTATAGTATTTAATTTAAATTTAATTAATAAATAAATTTAATTTAAATATTTATACAATTAAAATTAAGTATTTAAATATCCACGCCACCTTCATTTTATTTCTTTAAAAATATCTAAAAAGAGATGTATAAGTATTTTAGAGAGCTAGTTTTAATGTATTTTTTTTTAATTTTAGAGAAATAAAGAAAATAAGTTGATTTTTTAAAAAAAATTATATGACTTTTAAAAATTAAATTTGATTTTCTTGATAATCAATAAGATAGTTTCAAATATGAAATTTCATAAAAAAATTTAAATTAAATCCAAGATCATTCTTATATTTTTATGAAAGTATTTTTATGTTCATAAAATCATTTTAACGGACAGGTATCGTTATCAATTGATGAACAACATAATTAATTAAAAAAATAAAAAGTTGAGACACCTAATTATAAAAATCGAAAATGTTGATCCACTTGGAAAGAAAGAACTCTTTCAAGCAGATTAGGTAAAATATTGGAAGAAAACGTAACATCGAAGCTGTCCTCCGGTTAACATTCTTTCGATTCTACTACTGCATTCCCTGCTTCTCTCTCTCTCTCTCTCGCTAATTTCTGCTGCCAAATTCTTAAACCCAAATCCATCTCTCACTGTTGAAGGAAACACAGGTAGACAGATGCCGAAATTTTTCAGAGGAATGAAGCCTGAGTGATAAAGGATAGTTTTTGCTTTTCTTATCGCTCGGTCGACGAGATGTCGTTTTCATTCTTCAAAGCGTCACGGCCAAAAACACCACAGGAAGTGGTGAAAGCAATGAAAGATAGCCTCGTGGCTCTTGATACCAAAACCGTTGTTGAAGTTAAAGCCCTTGAGAAGGTCTCTCTCTCTCCCTCTTATTTTTTTTTTATTTTAATTTTATGATTCTTTTGCTTGGTATTTGATTTATGTAAGATGAATCGCATATTAATTTACATCTAATTACTGTTTTGTTGATGTAATTATGAGAAATGTGCATATTAAATCTGCTGTTGGTCAGTATATATTGATGTGATTAAGTAACTATTTGTTATGATGCTATTGAAATGCAATTGGTTCATGAATTACTTGTCAGTGATACTGGAAGAATTGTTATATAATTGATTGATTGATACTTTGAAAGTTATAGCAGGCATTGGAAGAAGTAGAGAAGAATTTTGTGTCCATGAGATGTATGCTGTGTGGAGATGGGGAGGTTGAACCGAATACGGATCAAGTTTCCCAATTAGCACTTGAAGTTTGCAAAGAGGATGTTCTTGCTCTTATGATTCACAAGTTACCTAATTTGGGATGGGAAGTAAGTGCCGCTGCTACCCCATTCCTATCATTCACTCGTGCATGTATTTAGTATCTTTCGTTGCGCAGATTATGACTATTTTTTTTTTGTTTGAAATGTAGGCAAGAAAGGATTTAGTCCATTGTTGGTCTATATTGTTGAAGCAAAAGGTTGACTCAAGATACTGCTCTGTAGAATACATAGAGAACCATTTTGAATTTCTAGACTTTCTTGTTGTATGGTAAGCATATAATTCTTGTTTTTATGCTTGGATTAAGAAATGATATTGATGTGTCTTGTGCGCTTTCGAGTTATAGGTCTTTGGTTTATTGTGATTATCTCTTTATTGTATGGGTTTCTAATCTCTTTGTAGCCTTCTTGAGTACTACCATGTGAATGCATTTCTTCTAAAAGAACTGTAGCTTTGTATGTATTACAAAAAATGTAATTCTAAATGGTATTATTCAAAAAGAAAGAAAGAAAGAAAGAAGAGAATAACTGATGTCAATGTCCTTCTAAAACTTTGTTACAAGGGTGTTGTAAGAGAATGCTACCACAGTCAGCAATGTGTCAAAATTGGCATGCCTAAAGAACCATAAGAGGTGTGTGTTATTTTTGTGCCTTAAGTTGTTTGTTTCATGATTATTTTCAGAAAACATAAATCATACTCATTATTTAATGGCTGGAACAAGGGTTTCTAGTTCTTGGAAATTGTAGAAAATATTAGAGAGACACTAGCAGGTTGTTTCTAGGAGTTGCAACCAGAGGATGGAAAACCAAAATTTCATCCTTAGAAGGTTCTTAATTTTTCTTAATCTGGAAATGACAGCTGCAAAAATACATTAATTTTTATTCTTTTGTTTTCCGCATTCCCTTTTCATGTGGAGTCACTGTGAATAACAAATTTCACTAGGGTGATTTTGTATGAGATTTAATGTTTTCCCCTTTGAACAGCTATGATAACAAGGAAATTGCCTTGAATTGTGGACTTATGCTAAGGGAATGCATAAAGTTTCCGACACTTGCAAAGTAAGACATTCAAGCTCTTTTTTATTTCTTTCATGGCCTATATGCTATAGCTAATGCACTTATATTTATTTATTTTTAAATGATGATATCAGTGAAAGAAGCTCTACTGTTTTTTTTTTTTTTTTTAATCAGTGTACAAAAGGAGTATTATTAAAAAATGGAAATAGTGGCCCTTGTGTGCTTGTTTTTGGCTTATATGTAATGCTTTGACACTCTCGGGTGTTTGTGGTTATGATCATCAATCCATTATCGTGATGACCTTTGACTCCATTAGATTACAATCACACTCATAGGAGACCTTTCTTGAAGTGAGACTTCAGATGGGCTTTTCATAGCATTTATGTGACCTATAAGTGTGAGACAACAAGGGTTTAAGTTCTCATGAACAGTTCCCTGCATAGCAACCATTTCTCATGCACAATGAGAAACTGTCGCCTTCTCATGGGAGAGAGAAGTTCTATAATGTTTCTGTAAGCTTGAGGAGTTGCATATCCTTTGGTTCTTGAAGAAATATAGAGTTTTATGCCTGTGAAGTTGGGAATTTTTTGATGCATTATTTGGTATATTCTTATGTGTTTTCTTGTATTGATATTTGATTTTTATTTCCCAAAGCCTTTTTCTAAAGTTCATGTAAGAGCTTCCCTGGAAAATAGGAAAAAAAATAACTGTCTGGGTACGTCCCGGGGGTGGTTAGAACTTAGTTTTATTTGCTATACTTTTTAGTGCAAGTAGGGCTACTCTGTTGTTTTTTGTTAGTTTCTTTTAATCTAGATAGTTGCCTATTGAAAAAACTTAAGCCTTTCTACCATAACCACCCATGCCATTTTGGCGTTTTCCTTTATTTTGAGCCTCTAGTTGATTTCACAGGGATCTGTTTTGTCATTTTTTATATTTTCATAAAAATTCCTTTGTGATATCATCTTCATCAATGGAGAAAGGACTGCTCATGCGTGACCTGGGTTCAAATATGATTTTTTTTTATGTGCTCATTGGCTATTGCCATTACCCTGGTCCTTGGGATCTTTAGCCGATTATGGCAATTTGAGCTTCATTCTCTGCTGCTAAAGCTATTTAATTCCAAAAGTTGACTGCCTTGGCACTGCATAATACTTGGTAGATTAACTTATATAGCTTAGAGATGAATGCCCCCCACTTGATGTATATCAATCCAGGAAATGGGCTGGCTGGACCAGGTTAATGGAAATTGATAATTGATAGTATATTGCCTACCAAGACTTGAAATTTCTGTCAGTTTCAATTCAATCACTCAAAGTTTATAATGGCTGTTATTGCTGCTTTTGACATCTGATTTTGATGCCTAATTTCTCTATGACATGCAAGTTTTAAGTTTTCACACAGTTAATTTTTGTAGTGATGTTTCAGATATATATTAGAGTCTGCAAGCTTTGAGTTGTTCTTCAAATTTGTGGAATTGCCTAACTTTGATGTTGCTTCTGATGCTTTCTCTACTTTCAAGGTCAGAGTTATAAGGTTGTAAGTTCTTGTGTTTCTTTTTATTTTTATCTGTTCAAATTTTGCGCTTCCAGTTATTCCTACTTCTTATATGTTTTGATATGCTTGCCAGGATTTACTGACTAAACATGGCACCGTGGTTGCGGAGTATCTTACTGCACATTATGATGAGGTACTCTTGCTTGCCAATTCTTGATATGATTCTAGACAGATCTAGGCGGATCAATCTTGGCTAAAATGTTGCTTAATATTTGCTGTTCTCCTCGTGGTGGTAAAAGAATATCGAAATACAGGATCTACTTTGGACAAGAACCTTTTTTGTGATGATTAATGAATTATATAACAATGTGTAAGTTGCAGCAACCATGTAGTCTCACTGGATTCTGTACTCGTAATATTTGTCTAGACCGTCCACCTCATCTACTACCATAACAACTCCTTTTCACAATTATCCTTTTATCTTGCTTGAGTAAGAAGTGTCTCCTAGCTAATCTTAAAGCTCTACTGTTCCAGTTCTTTGAACAATATGAAAAACTCTTGACATCTTCTAATTATGTGACAAGAAGGCAATCATTGAAGGTTAGTTTCCACTGTACTTTTTCAGATATCACTCTGCTGTTGCTTTGATCAATAAGTTAACAGTATTATGTTGATTTAGCTTCTTTCAGAATTCCTTTTCAGTTCTTTGAACAATATGAAAAACTCTTGACATCTTCTAATTATGTGACAAGAAGGCAATCATTGAAGGTTAGTTTCCACTGTACTTTTTCAGATATCACTCTGCTGTTGCTTTGATCAATAAGTTGACAGTATTGTGTTGATATAGCTTCTCTCGGAATTCCTTTTGGAACCTCCGAGCTCTCATATAATGAAGCGCTACATTCAAGAAGTTCGGTACTTGAAAGTCATGATGACTTTGTTGAAGGTATCAAGTCTTTTCTTTTCCACTTTTTATTCTTGTATGTCAATCTTGATCTTATTCGGTTTGAATGTCTAATTGAATATGCCGTGCGGTCTGAAGAAAACATATGCTTTTTAATTGGCAATGCTACTTTATCAATCTAAAAGCTACTAAGCAAGTAAAAATCCTCTGAATGGTAGAAAAGCCCTGAAAGACATGGTATTACTCACCTATAACACCTGGCAACAAGAGGCCACTTTGGTATCAAAGCTTTGAAGTTTTGATTACTGTAGTGAGAACAAAATTCATTTTATGTTACTGAAATGTAACTCAAATATGAGTTTAGAATCACTTTGTTTCACCATGCTTCTGGAAGTCTGGAACGCTTCTCTCATTGGTGATTATTACCTTTTGATGCCAATCTAGCTCAGAACAAATGAATGGTTTAACTGTCATGCTTTGCTTGTCCTCAGGGAAACAGTTAAGAAGGGCTTGTCTACTCACAGTACAATGGGTTGTGGATGCCAAGAGGCCTCTGTTTCTATGAACTGAAGCATTTTTTTTTTTTTTTAATTTGGCCGCCTAAGTTACCAGATTTTCTGTTCAACCTGGAATATAGGATAAGCATTGTAGCCACCAGAGCTTCCCGCTTTTATGTGGCTGTCTGATAAGTGGTAAAGAGTAGTTTTTAATAAGGGATTTCCTATACTATATTATAGATGGGTATTCTTTGTTAGATCTATTTTGACAACCTCCATCTTTTTCATAAGCTTTCATTGTATTTGACCTTTCTCTGCTTGTTTTTTTCTTTCATTTGTCTGGGCAGGACTCGAGCAAAAATATTCAGATCTCTGCTTTCCACATTTTCAAGGTCTTCCTTGCCTTCTTTTATCTTATAGTGTATATATTTTTTTTTCACCTGGTTGTGCTCTAGGCTTGGTCATATATGCAAGAACTGATTCCCCCATGCTAACTTATCGTAATTCAATCCCCTGGCCTTCAAGTTGTTCCAATACCTTTAGAACCAAGGAAATTACTAATGTAGAATATGCATAACATTGGCTAATTTTTCTACCCCCTTCCAAAGACTAAATTGGTCAGGTTATAGAGGCAGTCGGCTGTACTTGCTGTCTGATATGCATCATCTCTTGCAGAAATTTCCTTTAATGTTAAGTTTCTCAGTGACATGATATGGGCCATTAGGTTGTGTTTTATCAGCACTACCCTCGAACACATGTATCCAAGGTTATTTCATTCGGTTCTTTTTGGTGTGCTTAGTCTTATGATAAATACAAACAGTCACGTATATACTACATCCTTTTAGACTTTAAGTTCACTTACTTTTTGTGAAACTTTCGATGGTTGTTTGATTTCTGTGTGAAATGCAATCATCTATATAATTTCCATTGGAAGAAAAGAGTCCTAGACAATGCAAGCAACTTCTACAATGTGTAAAGACTTTTAGGATATCCATCTGAATGTTTTTGCTTGCAATCTGCATTCAAAATCATGTTTGGTCAAGATGGTTACCACAGCTGTTGTGCCTTGTTTGCTTAGAAGCAGCATCATAGACATCAAAGATTACAGTTGAATTGTATAAAAGGAAAAATAAAGGTGACTGTTGAGTAGACATGAGTAATAAACAGAAGACAGCATGGCATTGGCTGCTTTTGTGCAGATGGGTTGAAAATATTTTGCTTTCTCTACGTTGACCTGGTTAAGTTGCTACTTGCAAGTAGAGATTTTTCATACCTTTTCCTTGCTTTTCTTTATGCTTGTGAAACTCCCAGTTGATTTGAGAGGTGATGATGCTGTCAAAATTATTTGATTGAGGTTGCTGCACTTTAGTCTTCGGTTAATCTGTTGGACCTTGCTGACAGCCAAATTTTGTTACACTGGCTCAGGTGCACCTTGGGCAGCATCACCATTTAACTTTTTGTTAAATGCACGTCAACTACGGATCCTTTATTTGCCTTAGATAATGAAAGATTTTGTGGCACAAATGGTCCTTTATGGTTCCAAGTGTTAAATCCTGTCTTTGTTTATACGTGCAGGTCTTTGTTGCTAATCCTAACAAGCCACGAGAGGTGAAAGTGATTTTGGCCAAAAACCATGGAAAATTGTTGGAATTGCTTCACAATCTCTCAGCTGGAAAAGGTAATTATGCTTTCAAACTAGATTCACAAAGAGGTCATGGAATTTTCTTTGAAATTGTGTTTATAAGAAACACTGCTCAAATTTTGAAATTCCTTCTGTGGACATCCATAACATACTGTCTCTTCAGGTGCTGAGGATGAACAGTTTGAAGAGGAGAAGGAATTGATCATCAAGGAAATCGATATGCTATCTCGCCTGTCAAATCTGGATCATTAGATCTTTATCCTAATTGCTGGGATTTCCTTTACTACTCGGATCCTGTGCCTGGTTCATGCTAATTCTGTGATGATTGATTATGGCATGCAATTGATATTTGTGCAAAAGTCATGGTGTCAAAGCACCAGTAGGAAACAATACAATTGAGAATTGCATGCGCTTGTAATATTTGTTGCGTCGGAAGTCGTACTGAAGTACATCACGCCATCTGGTCTTAGAAGTGTGTTTAGAGCATTGGTTTTGAGTGATCAAGGGCACTGGCTTGTATTATAAAGAAACCCAATACCCCCTATTGCCTTGTGCACGTGAAAACTTTGTTTTTACCATTGGTGTTTGCTTCCTCCACCTTCAAATTTGAGGAGTTTATGTCATACTTGGTGGTGATTTTGAAAGCACTGGAGATGACTTCTTGATGCCTTGTGATATAATCAATAATATGAGAATGCAAAGTGCTTTTTATTACATTAGCTATTCTTGTTTGGCTCTTGGCTTTTCAGATATGCCGGAGCCATCCAAGTCACTGCGCGATTGAGAGAAGCCAGTCACTGCAACAGAAAATAAATAATTAATTAGAATAACTGAAGCAGGTTTGTGCAAGCTGCAATAACAAAAACAACGCGAAAATAGATACCGACCCCTTTTGGTAAACAACAGCATCTGTGAAGCTCAACAACCACTCAAAGCCATATGGTAAAGAAACTCGGACCGAAATTTCGGAATTTGGACATGGTAGCAGTAGGCAGCAAAGTTGAAGAACAAAAGAAACAGCGGCAATGGAAATGTGATGTGATTTCTGCCAAAAGATATAAAAACCGCATCTGCAACCGGTTTCGAAATTTGCATCTGCATCTATGAAATCTAACAACACCGTGACATCCAATTACTTGAGCAGGAAGATACAAATCGCAGAATATAAACAATCACTTCACAGGCAAATCATCTTCGTCTTCAACTCTGCCTGTACCAGCGCTTGCTGTTGCTCCCTGCAGCTCCAACCTTGCTCTCATCATCACTCCCAATATCTTCAATCTCATCCCATCCAACATCTTCCTCTTCCTGAAACGAATTGCTCGAAACCACATCACTATCTTTACTCGATTTACCTTTCGACAAAACTCCATTACCCTCTTCCTCTTCACCGTCAAAATCCCAACTTATATCCTCCTCTTCATCACCGGAGATCGCCCGTTTAACAAGCAAAGCCCTCGCTTCCTCTGCTTCCTTTAACTTGAACATTCTATAAAAATATTGACTCCAAAAACTTTGATTATCAACTTTACTAGGCGCAACCTCGTTATAAGTCCATTTTAACAACCTCATTTTCCCTAATTAATCTCTTCATTTTTCTCTTCAATCACAAGACCCTCTGATCTCCATTTCTCATAATCCTCCTTATCCACGGGTTCACAACAATAAGTATCCAAATCACATTGCAACTCACGCACTTGAGCATCGAAACGACTATATTTCACATTCAAAGACTCCCGTTTAATCAAACTACCAGTATCACCGTCACGATCATGATCAACAGCTGAGAAAACCTAGTCACTACCGTGTGAGATGATCCGGGCCGTTGATTTCCAGAAGGTGGATACGATATCGTCGATGGCTCGGCCGACAGACTCGAGGGACTCTTGAGCGACGGAGGCGCTGGTCTCAAACGAAGCGGGGAGGTCGTGGACGGCGCGTGAAGCGACATCACGGATGACGGCGGTTCTTTCTTTAAACCGGATCCCAATTCTTTGAGGTCTTTTTTATAGGTTCCGATAATGGATTCTGATTTGGTTGCTATGGTTTTGATTAAAGAGCCAAACGACCATGTGGGGTCTAGGGTAGGCGGGTCAGGGTTGTCGGCGCTTGATTTGGGTGTGGGATCATCGGAGTCTCTGATGGCGGAATTGAAGAGATTCATTGGGAATTTTGTGGAGGAGGAGAAGGAAATGTTTTTATATTTATAGGTTCTCTGTGAAGCGAAGAAGATGGTTTGGAAATCTTTCGCACGGTTTTATTTATTTATTTATTTGTTTATCTGGATAATATGATTAATCCTTTCGGCCTCCCTTCTAGATTTGCCTTTGGTAATTGCGGTCACCAAACAATCATGACACACAAGTCTAGGTTTACTAAATGATTGGCATTTACTATAATTGCATCAAAAATCTCAAAAATCAACTTAAAATTTGATGTACAGGATTGTATATACTAAAAATTAAATTGAAAATTTGAAAAATCAATATATATTAAAATATTTGATTTTATATTGAGTTGAGCCTTGCAATTTTTTTATTTAATAACATGCTATTTTTTATAAAAAAAATAATTTAACTTTTATTGAAATAAATTAATTTGCTAGTATAATTCTTTATTTTTTTATTAATATTTTAAATTCCAGTAAAAAAATCTAAGTTTTTTTTTTTATATATCATTCATCAAATAAAAATAAAAAAACATACTAAAAAAACCTTAATTATTTAAAATAAAAATAAAAAATAGCACTTCTCTGATTAAAACTCTGTTGTATCATTAACGTGCTCAATTTTTTTAGGAAAACTTCAACAAAAAACAACATTCTTATGATTTTGATATTAATATATTAAAAAACAAAAGAATAGTATAAATGATTTGTGTGTTGTTGCGAGAAATATTTTGGCGATGTCACTGCACCTCTTCTTGTTGATAAGCATGGAGATCTTCTAATCTTATATTTTACCTCATATATTATTCAAATTAAATCTTATAAAAGTTGATTTTTTATGATTTAGTTTATCTAATAGCTTTAAAGACGACTTGCATGACCCTGTCAGAACCCGAATTGACTTAAAAAAATTCAAAGCATGGTTGTTACTGTTTTTAAAATATTGAAACAACGACATCTTGAATCAATCTAGACAACTTGTGTTAACCCATTAGATACATACCACAACTTTGTTTAATAACTTTATTTTTTAAAAGTATTTTTTTTATTAATTATATAACAAAAAAATGCTCATATGAAAATCACCATATAATTTATTTAATAAAACAAAACCTCAAATATATTCTAAATTAATTCAAGGAATGAATATATATATATATATATATATATAATTTTAAGGAAAATGAATTTAAATTGAAAAAAAAAAACTTGTTGTGCTAGCGTAAGTGGTCTTGCATGCATGAACCATTATAAATCAGGCTAGGTGTATGGGTTTGATAATACAAGCTTGCATGTTTGAGTTTTTTTTATATATAAAAAAATACCTAGATAATAAATCACCTTATAGTTTAACTTTGCCACCATTATCTTTGGTAGCCAAAACAAAACATTGTCAAAAAATCAAGTAAAAGATTTTTTAGTATTTTTTTTTAATTTGAAAACACTCAAGAAACACTCCATTATCCTAAATGCTTGTATGTAATCTTAAAATAATATTTAATCAATTCAAAATCCAAAATCAATCTTGATTTTAGAAAAAATATTTATAAAACCCAATATGTTTTTTCCAGCAAGATGAGAGGTAAAAACATCTCGGTAAAATTTTTTTTATAAAATAAAATAAAATACATTAATATCAATAATAATTTGTTTTAGTTACTAAAACACAGTAAACTAATAACTTTCTCTTCTCACCTATTTTAAACTTCTCTCTCCATGTGTATAATCATAAATCAAAATATAAAAGCATTAGAAAACATAAACTAAAAATACAAAGTTTTAAAACTTTGGGAACTAAAACACTTAAAAACAAGTACTAGCGGCCGTAGAAAAAAAGAGAGGCTAGAATCTTGTTTTAGTGTCAATTTTGATCTTTAATGTTTTATTTATATTTAATCAATAAAATTAAACTTGATTTTGCTAGATTGAACAACAATTTAATGCTAAAATCTATTTTCAATATTGCAAGAAAATCCATACCTAATTAATTAAAATAAATTATCAAGTTGAATTCTAAATAAATTAAATATTTAAGTATCAAATTAAAAAAAATATAAGTAATCCAAAAAAATCCAAATTCAAAGACTAAAAAAGAAAAACATTTGACTAATTCAAAGTAATTTCCTCTTATAAGATCGTTCATCACTAGCACTTTCCTTCTTTCTCTCTCTTATCATTGGGTCATATTAAATAATTTGAAAATATAACTTGAGTTCTACCCCTTTTTAGGCATTAGATAAGAAAAAAAAAATATGTATCACTTTATAAAATACTATTTATTTTAATAATATTTTTTTTAAAATTTATGTTTTTTTCTTTTTAATTTTATTTTTTAATATTTTATTTATTAAAAATTAACTTTCATAATTTATTATGGTTTGTTTTATAAGATGTTTGTTTCTTGACTAGTGTTGCGGGTTTAGTGGGTTAACCCGGTTGAATCGGATTTTTTAAATTTTTTAAATTATTTTTTTTCAACTTCATCCTTTAATATTTGGTTGATTAGAAAATAAGTTTCATGATTTATCTCGATTTAATTTCTATGAAGTTATCTCAGTCTTATGACTTGGGTCGTAGGTTTGACGGGTTAATCTGTTAACTCGAGTTTTTTTTTTTTTTAATTGATATTTTTTAAATTTTATCCTTTAACATTAAGTTAATTAAAAATTAGACATCATGATTTAATTTAGTTTTCTTTCCATAAGGTTATCTCAATTACATGACTTAAGTCACATGTTTTATGGGTTAACTTAAGTAAATTCAGGTCATTCTATCATGTCCTGTTTTTAAATTAAATTTCTTTTTTAATTTCATCATTTAAGAATGAGTTTATTGAAAATTAAGATTTATAATTTGTTTTGATTTGCTTTTTATGAAATTATCCTAATCTTATGACCACGATCGCGAGTTTAGTAGATTAACTTGGATTTGTTTGGGTCATTTTTTTTATTTACTTTCTATGAGATTATCTTAATCTCATGACCATAGTCATGAGTTGGTTGGTTAACTCAAGTTATTTTCTTCTATTTTTAATTATTTTTTCATTTCTAATTCTTTAATATCAAGTAGATTGTAAATCTTTATAATTTGTTTTCATTTCCTTTATTTAGGGCTATTATAGTCTTATGATTAGGGTCATGGATTTGACATGTTAACTTGTGTTGATTTAGGCTAATCCAAAAAGTTGTTATTTCAATATTTTTTTTAAAGATATTTTCTAGAATTTTTGCAAGTCAAATTATATTTTTATTGGTCGTCTAGCTTGTTTTTAGACTCATCAAGGCAATCAAGTCCCATCAAGTTAATCTTTGCATAATTTAAATCACGTCAAGTTAACCTCTACATTGTTTAAAGTTTTTTCTAATAAAAAAATAAATGTTCAAAAAAAAATTAATTCGATCTGTGATATAGTATCATGTTCTCAGTATGTTTTCAATGCAGTACTTGTGGCGTCAACACTTCAGTATGTTTTCAATGCGGTACTTGTGGCGTCAACACTTCTCTATTTGAATG